GAAAACGGGGGGGGAAAAGAGGGGGCCCCACGTACCGGTGATCACCTCACTGAGCTTGTGCTTCTGGTCATGGGAGCTGTGCAGATCAGCCAGCCCCACCACCACCAGCCCCACGATGGTCACCAGGATGCCCAGCCACTGGCTCAGCTCCAGTTTGCGACCCAGGAAGGTGACAGAGAGGAGCCCAGTGAAGATGATGACGGATCCACGGAGCATCTGGAAGCTGGAGGCACTGGTCATGTTCAAAGCTGTGTGAGGAGAGACACATCCATGGGGACAGGCTGGGAGAGTTGGGGCTGTTCAGCCTGGAGAAGAGAAAGCTCCGGGGAGACCTTCTAGTGGCCTCCCAGTACCTGAAGGGGCTCCAGGAAGGCTGGGGAGGGACTTTGGCCAAGGGCAGGGAGGGACAGAACAAGGGGTGATGGCTTGAAAGTGTCAGAGGGGAGATGGAGCTGAGATGTGAGGAAGAAATTGTTTGGTGTGAGGGTGGTGAGCCAGTGTCCCAGGTTGGGCAGAGAAGCTGTGGCTGCTCCTCCCTGGAAGTGTTTGTGGCCAGGTTGGATGAGGCTTTGAGCAACCTGGTCTAGTGGAAGGTGTCCCTGCTGCTGGCAGAGGGGTTGGGACTGGATGAGCTTGAAGGGCCCTCCCAACCCAAACCACCTCTCCTCTGCTTTGGTAATTAAGAGCAGGTCGGTGATGAACTGGAGGAAGAGGCAGCAGCACTGTCCCCCTCCATTCCCCCTTCGAGCTGGCAGCCAAGACACAGTCCCATGTCCCTGCTCCACATGAACCCCCTGAGGAACGCAGCGTACTGAGCCCTGACACAACTCACTGCACAGGTGTGCAGCAAAAAGAGGAGATTTCTGCCCCCAAAAAGGGGGTTTGTGTCCCAAAAGAGGAGGTTTGTGCCCCAAAAAGGGAGTCTGTGCCCCGAAAAAGTGGGTTTGTGCCCCAAAAAGAGAGGGTTTTGTCCCCAAAAGAGGGAATTTTACCCCAAAAGAAGGGGTTCTTGCCTGAAAAAGGAGTGGTTTGTGCCCCAAAGAGGGGGTTTGTGCCCCAAAAGAGGGGGTTTGTCTCCTCAAAAGAGAGGGTTTCTGCCCAAAAGAGGGGGGTTTGTGCCTCAAAAAGAGGGGATTTTGCCCCAAAAGAGAGGGTTTGTTCCCCAAAAAGTGGGCATTTGTCCCCCCAAAAAAGGGGGTTCTTGCCTGAAAAAAAGAGGGGTTTGTGCCCCAAAGAGTGGGCTTGTGCCCTAAAAAGAGGGGGTTTTGCCCCAAAAGGGGGTTTGTGTCCCAAAAGAGAGGGTTTGTGCCCTAAAAAAGAGGGGGACCTGTTCCCCAAAAAGAGGGGATTTGTGCCCCAAAAGAGGGGATTTGTGCCCCAAAAAGCGGGCATTTGTCCCCCCAAAAGAGGGGGTTTGTGCCCCAAAAGGAGGGGGGTTGTGCCCCCAAAATGGGGATTTTCCCCCAAAAGAGGAGATTTTGCCCCCAAAAGTGGGTTTGTTCCCCCAAAAGAGGGGGTTTGCTCAGACCCCCAAAACCATGGTGGAGTCCTGCAGCCTGATACCCACGTCTGACCCCAGGGATGACCAGGTCCCTGCAGGACAAGGTGGGGATGGAGGTGACACCCCTGTCCCCAGCACTTACCCACGTACATGATACTGGTCCCAGTCATGTCGCAGAGGGCGGGGGGCAGGAAGAGCAGCGGGTTGAAGGGTTGTGATGGGGCCATGCTGGGCTCTGGTCTCCATCGATCCCTCCACACCAGGAGATAAAACACCCCCAGGCAGGAAAACTCACCCAGGAACATGCCCACAGCCTGTGAGAGAGGTGGGTGAGGGGTCTGGTGCCACCACCAAGGTCCCTCCAGGTCTGGGTGGGGGGCTCACCTGCAGGAAGGGGTGCTGGAAGCTGTGCTCCTCTGTCCCACCACAGCCACCTGCGCTGAAGTTATCAGCCCACCTAGGAAGGGAGAGGAGGAGGATGGTGGTTAGAGGTGTGGGGAGCAGGAGGACACCCCAAAAACCAGCTCAACGTTGTCCTCTGGGCCACCAAACCACCTCAAAGTGACACCTCTGGGGACAGGACATCCATAGGGATGGGGACAGCGAGGCTGCTGGTGGCTCTTGGCTCAGCTCCCAGCCCTGAGTGACAGGCAGGGAAATGGGACACCAGAGTGTCACACAGTGCTGGGATCTGGTGTCCCCACACCCCATCACTGCCA